CTGCATGGAGGTGAGGGTTTGTTGGTTTACCTTGCAGGCAAAGCTGTCCGTCGTGGGTCCGAGTTTTGAAAGTTGAGACTTTTGGGTCATAGAGCTTGGAAACTTGAGTCCTTGGATTAGGTTTCAATACTGTCTAGGGCTTCTTTAGCATGACCCGAATTCAGAATCTCAGCGTGACGACATGTCAGCATGTTAAGGTGACCCATGCCAGCGTGCCGGTGACAAGATGTCAGTGTGACGACACACAAGCATATCAGCATGACAACACAGAGCGAAAGCACATCTGCAAAGCGCTCTGGAACTTGCCCCGGAACTTCATGCGGAACCTCTAGAACCTTCTGTGCAGAACCTGCTCCGGAACTTGCTCCACAACCTGCTCTGGAACTTGCTCGGAACCTGCTCCCGCACTTGCTCAGGAACTTGCACCACCTTCAATACTTGCTCTGGAACCTGCTGCAGGACCTGCTTGGATCTGCTCGGAAGTTTCTACTATGGCTGAAGACAACATGTTGAACAGAATCAACGGCTGGTGCACCTCATGAACCTTTCCGACTCTTCATCAGAGCTTGGCGCACTTGGCGCTTGGATCCGTGGACGCTTCTCATTTGCACCATGCGTGTCTGCGTCCATTCCCACCACGCGCACGTAGTGCGTCTGGTGATGAGTGTCCTGTACTACATTGCTACATTTGAAGCCAGCGGCTGCAGATGAATGACTTAAGATTGCAGCTTGCCTAAGACTATGAACCCAATCACAAGCCGTCCCATGCATCCAAGCGACTATGCCCAAAGTGTGTAGGAGCACCAGGACTGTCAGGTTGACGCTCATTCAGGTTGTGGACAAAAGATTCTTGACAGTGCTGGGCCATGGCGAAAACTGCTCAAAAGTTCAAATGGGCTCAATTTCAAATTTGATGACAATGTCAATGTCTGTTCCTATTTCATTAATTTGTTTGTCCATGAGCCTTTATTGAAATCAATCTTGATTCCATTCTGCATTGCATCACCCAGGCCTCGTATGCAAGTCTTCATAGCCCGACCTTCAGAAAAATTCACTGTATACATATATATATATTAACATATAGATTTATAGAAATACAGAAAGACAAAAGTCCAAACAAGGACTCTGCTTGGACACACCCGCCTGGGTAGTTTTGCGCCCAAAATGTTCCATGCAGAAACTAGCTGATGTGGCAAGCCCACACAAAACCGATCAAACATGTATAGCGGCAGTCACACGACTCTAAGCAGAGCACCAAAAAGGAGCGTGGCTTTGAGCAGTAACTTTCACACAAAACAGTTTCTTGAGCCGCAGCTGCAAATGTAAAGCTGAAGAACCGTTGCACAAGTACCTCTTGTTGAAATGTTTTTGAGAAAGCTGTTCTATCAACCTGCGACAATCCGACAAGCAAACATGCCGGCAGCTCTGCTTGACCTGGCAGAGGCTTTATTGCTGACGGCTTGCTTGAGCATCAATTATTTCGTTATTCTTTCGGAGATTCGAAGGCAATCTGGCCAATCCAACCGGAAAAACACGCGACGCTATCTTTCACTTCTTACTTCTTACGAATTCATACTCTGCTTCATGTTCCAGAGATGAAACCGCATTGTCAGTGAAAACTGTGAGTTGGTTCTGAAGTCACTCTAGCTTGGGGTTGCTTGGCTAGCCAATTGAATATTACTGTGACTGTGACTTCGATTCCACAGGACGTAGGGTGAGACTGAGCCTGCTGCCTGCTTTGTCTGATTACATAGCGGCTACTTCTCACTTGACACTGCCAGTCAGTGTCGTTCATCATCCAACTTTTGTTTGAATACATCCTTGTGATCAACAAAACCGGGCCACGAGATGCAAACAACCGGCTGCACCTGCTGCCACAGCGACACGCAAAGCAACTTTTGCACCATCTGACGCGGTACCAACCTGACACTATGAACATGGAGACATTGCAAAAGCACAGGCAATTGACTTGGCCAATGGTATTGCCTGTAGGAGGTAGTGAGCCACACGTGCCTTAGCAAGGCGGCAAATGTGTAGAGTCTCGTTTGTTCAACCTCCTCTAAACCAGTCTTAAAGATTCTTGCACGTAGGGCGTACGTGTTGCCCACTCTAAGCCTAAGCTGGCCTAAAAACACTAGTGAAGGCACAAGCATCAAGTCTATGAATGTCATGGTGACAACATCTGACAGCTGAAACGCTTGAGCCGATGGAACTGTAAACATGACTGAGTTTTAAGACAGACTACAAACACTGCCTTCATTATCCTTTGGCCTGAGAAACCCAAACAGCTGGACCCGTCGAAAGCTTGGCCGCTTAGCCGCCCTGCCACATCTCCTGACTCGGCCGCTGCTCTCAGGGGAGCTGCAGTGCGGCACCTAGGAAACAAAGCGGCCTCTGTCTGCAACTTTGGCCATTCCGGAATCTCTCTGTGTTCAACTCCAAGCCAAACTCCCCAAAGAACCTAAACCATCTCAAATGCCGTAAACCTCTTTACCTTATTGAACCTTGCTGGAATGCCTTCTATCTAGCTTCGAGCTAGCACCCAAAAACCAACGCAAAAACGATTCTAAAAATAAGTTTGAGAGTGGCCCCTCCCGAAAACCAACTAAACCCATATTCAAGCCCTTGTAAAAAGGAACTACATATACACAAACACTCTTGCGCATCAAAGGTGTCTGCGATCGTCCTTGATGATTCAAGCTAGCCAAACAGGGTTTGGGTCAAACTCACTCCCAGCACACTACTTGGGAGTCGTTCATGTCTCACTGATGAGCACGCTCGGAGGGCTTCTTTCGTGCATTAATAATCAACACAGCTTTGCGAACCAAAAACGGATCAAATGCCATATGCCACATAGCAAACCAGATGGATCAAAAACTGATCCAAGGCTGCAGAATAGTTCTTAGCGTTCTGCAAGGACAAGCATGAAGTTATCAAGGGTTCCGGCAATGGTCGATGAAAAAAAACTGTAACGGGTAAGGAAACATAGTTTTCTATGTTGTTCCCGTAGTACACAATTGCATTCTAAATTGAACTGTTTTTTGCCAATGACCCTGCCAACTGTGTTTGGCCTGGACCTACAAACAACATTGCATCCTCTATCGTAACACCGGAACATTATCCTAATTGATTCGCTTTACTAAGTAGTGAACTGTCCCAAGATTGAAACTTCAGTGACAAATAGTATTGTCGGGAAGACGCGTCTTTGCAATGTTCAGGGCATATGGAGAGACTATTTTTCAATGAGTGTCAAATCAAACGTGGACCCATTTACGATATCGACGACGATGTCTGCATATATTCCTTGAACAATGCTGCCACTTGCAGCTCAGATACCGCTCTCGTAGGGAATGGACATGAAGCTCCGCATTCAGAGAAAGCCTCGACAACTTGTGGAGCGAATTGGTTGAAAAAGTTGCGCCTTTCAACGCGCACACGCACGCACACACCCACGCACACACACACACACCAAACCACGCACACACGCGCACACACACACACACTTATGGAAATGCGTACTGATTGGATGCGGTTTGCCACACGCCACCCTGGATACCCAATTCTTGACCAGATCAAAAGAAAACCAAAGAAGCCTGGAGGTCCTCAAACGGAAGCTGAAGCCGATTGCGAGGCGACAAATGACGACGTAGCGCGCAGGTCTGCAGTACACAAGAAATCTTGAAATTGAGGCAGGTTCAGGGGAATATCATGCAAACACCATGGAAACAAACCACAGCGGTGGAAGAGTAGGGTGTTGTCACAAAAGCAGGTACGTTTGCACCCTGCTGACAAAAAACGAATCCATCAGGATCCCTGTAACTCCAAGGGTAACACACACCCACACACACACACACACGCCTCCCCAAGGGGAGGCGAGAATAACTAAGGTTAGGACGAATGTGCACGCGCGCGCAGCAAAGACAAAAAATGAAGACATGAAGACAGAGAGGACAAGACAGGATAAAAGTGTGCGTGATTGCGATGAAAGGGGAACCAAGTGCACAGGGACAACCGATGAACCCCACCTCATTGTGAAAACCTGGGCGACCTAAAACCTGGGTTTAGAAGTACAAGTAAATGCGCGCGTACACACCAAGGCCGGGACCAATGTGCGCGCAAAAGAAGAAGGAATGAAATGCCAAGACATGAAGACAGGGGGACATGAAAGAAAAGAGGAGAACAAGCGCGTGTGAAGGGGAAGGGTGAAAAGGGAAACAAATGGAGGGGACGAGAAACGATGAAGCCAAACCTCATTGAAAACCTGTTGCAGCGCCACTTTTGTGTGTGAACGCATCAGAAAAAGAAAGGAAAGGAAAAGAAGGTGTTCCCAGCTACGACACAAGCGTCCAAGCACACACCAAGAGAAGAGAAGAGAAGAGAAGAGAAGAGAAGAGAAGAGAAGAGAA